TTTTTCCAATTATTTAAGTTGGTCTAATAAAAGATATCAGATTCACCCAAAGAACCTTGTTTGCTTATATCCTCAGACCAACACGGCTACAACCTACACCCCTGTAAGGAATATATATATGCACACTAAAAAATACCTGAGGAATCTAGCTGTAAGCATCATTTTTTTTGTCAAATTGTAAGGCAAAGGAGACAACGATCTCATTAAAAAAAAACTGTAAAGCTTCATACTGGGATTTTTGAGTCGAAGCAAGGTCTTCCATTATGTAAAACAAGGTCTTCCTTTATGTATTAGCTGCACTTTGAGAGAGTGCAGGGTCATGCATGAAGGCACATTTTCAAATGTAGCCATTCCTAATCAGTTGTGGTTCAAATGTTAAGGGCTGATTTTCAAATATGCTGAGCACTAACAAGAACAACATTATGTTTTGGGGGTTGCGGTGTGTCAGGAATGTTTTCTAGTGTTTTGTCGTATATGGCATGTGTGGTCTCACTGCAAAGCCAATGTTATTCTGCATACATTAATGATACTGCATAGATTATGTTATGCTGTATGCTCTATGTATATCTTTACAATTTTGGATACGGTTCAACCAAGGGACTGAGGGAAGCATCATCCCTCCCAGACACAGGCAAAAGGAAACATCACTGAGTTGGGCATCCCAAGGCACTTTCCGTAATGGAGAAATCAGCTCCCGATAGCAAAGGCGCCTGAAATGAATGGTCTATCAAGCCACAGGAATGCCAGGTAGCCAGAAACTTCTGAGTATTCTGGTGACTCATTATTAGAATAATTTTGATGGGGAGCCTTCGAGGATTTTTAGGGTCTAGCTAGGATAATTTTTAGGATCTAGCTAGGATAAAATAAAAAAAGTCTTTGACTCTCAGGCTTTGGGAGTTCAATGACCACAGTAGCCAGGACTGTCAGAATCATCAAGAAGGCTTGTCTCCAAGTAAGCTGGCACACTGACAGGTCTCTCAGGATGGCTGAGCTATGACTAGACAAAAGGAAAAGAAACTGCTTGTTTTACTTTTTTGCCTCCAAACCTGCAGTCAGTTTTTGCTTGTAAATTTTGTAATAAATCTTTTAGTTGTTTGTCTCCTTACTGATTAATGCAGAAAGGGTGGTTTCTGGGCAAATGATACTCCAGCCTAGTTCTCTCCATGGAGAGGAAGGGACCTTTCATTTCTTCTCAGCCCAAAAGTGTGTGGTGGGGGAAAAGGGTCCTAGTCCTAGAGCTGGCAGAAATGTCTTTGCTGCGTCTTCAGGTCCGGTAGAAGGGCAGAGGAGTTAAGACTTGCTGGGGTAGGGAGCTATCCCAGGGCAACCTCAGTCTGTTCTTTGAGATGAGTGGCAGCACAATGGTGAGAAGCTCAGGACACTGGGGGTCCCTTGCGGACAGGTTTGTGACATGCATGGAATTAAACTGCAGGAGCTGAGGGGTTGTGTACTGAAAATTAGGATACGAATTTTCCATTGCAATCAGTACAAGGATGTAAGACCTCTGTTATGCAGGCTAGGCATAGGAAACAGAACCCTTTCAAGAACAATTACGTACTGCTGCCCGCCTTGCTGGGGTATTCTGACCCCAGTGGTCTTTCCTGTCCAAGTGCAGGGGGGCTGGACCTGATGGTCTCGTAAGGTCCCTTCCAGCCACTAACATCTATGAATTGATGAATCTATCAACTGTGATTTCACCACTGCTGTGACAGAGGAGAAAAGGATTTTTTTTCAATCTAGTTACACATTTCTATAAGAAATTATGTTATATGTTATTGTCAGATGCATTTAAACTGCAGCAGATCAAAATAAATAGCACACAAATTTTACTTGTCAAAAGTTATGAAGCTGTGGCAATTTTTCACTTAGAAAATAAAAGGCAACAATGTTTTCTAGGAAAATGCAGGTGCTGTCTACTTCTGAAAGAGTAATTCCTATCCCCCTTATGAACAAAGGCTTTCTTTAACTTTTGTTATACACACACAGCCACAATGCACAACCCTCATCACTCATACTGGAACTTAGTCATGTGAGTAGCTGCACTAAAAGCAAGCTTAAGTAGAAAAAACAGGCTTCTCTCTCAGGATTGACAAATCGGCTTCATTTATATATAAACTGCCAAGTCTTAAACAATGGAAGTTTCATCATCTTGGACTTTATGTTGCAATGTCAGATCCTGTAACTAGGCAATCCATATTACCATATAAGATATCATACCAGCTACTAATTTGTATTGCTCATCACTAGCAAAATGGTGCAAAAATATTGATCTAGTTTTACTTCTCAAAAGTAGAAAGGAAAATGTACAGAAAATTGTTCCAAGAGTGCAAGAAAACAAAAAGTAAGCAAATAATCTGTGTATAGTAACAGTGTTAAATATTTGCACTTGGTTGTTTTTCCTACTACCTGAGAACGATAAACAGTTTTCTACTCTTACATCATCTATATTGAAAGGCTTTGATTTATCCAGTAATGGCTAGCTAAATTGGAATGGCAGCTGAAAATGATTCAAACTTTTCTTTTTCTAATGTCAGCAGAAATAAAAGTAACCACCCTTAACCATTTGGGGAAAACACATCACACCACCTTGTATGTCTCATCAATCTAACCACAAAAAAATCTTTTCCAGCTGAAGCTAAGTGATTTATACAACTCAAACATCACAAATAGTTTTAGGATGACCAAAATCTGTATTGACCTTCCCAAAATTGCTTGCATCCAATTAAACAACCCATTCTTCAAGATGAGAATTCCTTCCACAAACACTGGTAGATCTCCTTTCCTTTATCCATAGCCCATGAATCTTTCATGTTATTACTTCTTCTAGAAGAAATCATTATATTAATAAATCTGAATTCTACCTTTCAAGAGAGTCCATTTAATACAAGCTGTTATATGCCAGTTGCAGACCTAGTTTAATGTGGTTTCCTAGCCCGACATTCTCTTTTCCCTTGTGTTCCAGCAGAAACTTGAATCTAAGTTTATTTCTTTAAGATTATACATTCAGCTATAAACATGACCACTGAAAGATTTTCCCGCCAAAAATAATTATGTTCTAATTATGTTGTAATTAGAAGTGAGTGTGTCATATTCCCAATCAGGAACTGCCATTGAAGGTCAGGAATTGCATCGCTGTGCAAGGCAGAAAAAACCCACCACTTTCAGTTGATTCCTGCTTGGCTTTCTGATTTAACACATACAACAGGATCCACACACTGTCTAGTCTGGGGTTTTGCACAAACACCATGCCACACCGCATCAGATGAAACCCGCTTTTCAATTCCAATAACCGCATTAGTGAACCCAATTAAAAATTCCTCTGATGCTGTTAAAATGTAGCATCTTGGACAGCATAAACACAATCATGTTTAATCTAGTTCCTGAATCAGACAGCTGCCATGGATTCTCCAAAGCTGTAGTCTAATTCAAGGGCACTGTTAAAACACAATTCACTTCTGTCTACATTGCATGACCAAACAGCGCTGGGCAACTTATCTACTGAAATCAGCATCTTCCTCCACTCCTTTTGCAATGCAGGAATAACCTTTTATAATGCTTTCAATGCTCTACAGTATTGGGGGTCAACCTTTCTGACAGGCGTGCCACAAGTTAAGCCCTGCCCCTTCCCTCAGTACTGCTCTGATTGTAAAGGCATCACTGATACAGTTTGTGCTGCTGGGCACTGGAATGGAAGCAGGAGGACTCAAGTCTCCAGCCAAGTGGAGTGGAAGGGGGACAAGATGCTACTGTAGGAAAGGTGTCACCACCAAGATTCAGTTAAACCCTTCTCTGGCCCTGCAAATGTTTTAATGGGTTCTGCAGATCCAAAGTCCTCAATCAGCAGTGGCTGGGTTAAACTGGCTCTGGGCAGTGGCATCTCCTCTCAGGCACCCTCCCAACCCAACTTGCTGACCCTAGAAACTATGAAACCCCCATGCTATGCAGCTCAAGCCTTGAGCACCCCCCTCCAATTTCCATTCCAGCGCCTCTTTTTACTTAGTATTTGAGGCTTGTGTGCTACATTGTGCGGGGGGTGGCAACCCCTGTTCTACAGCTATTATTACTCTTTTCCCTTGACAAACTCACTTTGAAAGAAATTTCCCTTTCTTTTTATTCAATAAGAACTATTAATATAAACACATAGGTGGAAGCTTTTAACATTAAAAAAGTTTGCATACTACTAATTTCACTTGCCCCAATTCAAATATTTGTTTTATTTTTCTATTTCTGAATTGGAAAAACAGTATAGTTCACCTCCCCTCAAAAACATGCACACACATAAAATCTTGAATGCAGTATTATCACTGGTAACAACTGTATTTACACTGAGACCAGTAATAAACAGTCACTGATGACAGACTTGTGTACATAAACTCTAATTGTTGTGCTAGAAAACCACGTAACAATCACCTTAATTATAATAAGAGGGAAAATGGTTTGTTCCATGGGTGATGTAATTGAATCAAGTTCAGTTTCTTCAGCTCTGGGATCAGTTTCTGTCAAAACTGCACATGGGTACATCTAATCACACATTTGTGCTAGTATATCACACACGTAATTGCTTGGAAAACCCTGAAAAGCAGAAATCCAAGGGTTAAGAAGGGAAACAGAGGTTTTTACCTTGAGTGTTTTGCTGGAAGATTTTGTTCAGATCTAAGGAGGAGGCTCTGGAATGTGACTTCTGTGGCCTTGGTGGGGGAGTAGGGGGCTCTTCTCCCTTTTTCATGGCATCTTCAATAGATGTGCTAGAATATGACCTAAAGGGAAACAAAAAATAGTAAAGAAAAATAAAGTCTTTAACTTTTAAACAAATATAGTAACTATTGATCAGCGTTGCACTTTATAGTGGGAAAACTCCTGCATCATGGGTGGAAAGTATAGTGTTTGATAGCTAAGACTGACGATATTATTGCTCTAGGTCTAGGGAGTGAAAGGATGACTTTTCAACCCACAGAACTAGTATGCCACGTGTGTTCTAGCTTCAGGCTTCTCATCTTTAGCTCAGGGGGTCACATCACCTTAGCCAACAAATAATTATAGCAACTAAGATGAATGAACATGAATGAAAATTTCTCTTCTCTTTATGCTTTCTGTCCCTCACCTTCTTTGTAAACTAACATGGTGGGCTCCAGCTGTCACCAGGAGTACATTAGCATGTTGTCTTGCTTTTAAAGCATTTTTACTCATTTTTATTTCTTACAATATGGCTGCATCCCACCAAGCACATTAAGAATACAGAAATGTACTCAAAGCATTGCACTGGTTGTGATATAAAGCATAATGCTTCAAATACCATGTCCTGCAAAGAGGAGTCTCTTTCAGTCTTGGGTTATGAAGGATTCTGGCAGCATAATCCAATACATGGTACTGCTGGCAATGTAAAGTCTACATAACGGGTCTTTGACAGTATAAGGTGCCCACCTGCAAGTCCAGTTCCTGGTTTGGTAGCAGCAGCTGAGCATACCTGGACCAAAAGAAGCCCTATTAGTACACCCACCAAATATCCCTGCTGTGTGGTAGCGAAAGAGGTGGGGCACAAATGAACCTCTAGTAGAAATTAAGGCTGCCAGTTTCTTGGTGCAGGGCAGCAACAGAAAAGCTGCCTGCTCTCCTCCTCTGAGATGTATTGCTTTTGGGGCTCACTGGAGAGGAACAATCTTCAGGCCCCTGAGTACGCAAGCCTGACCCAAGTCCACAGTCTTTCTGTTCTACACAGGTGGCTGTAGACATACCCCAAACTGAGGTTTCCAGGTTTGAATTATATGACACCTTTTGGTCAACTAGCTTCGTTTGTTGGTAACCTGGAAGCTCAAACTGCTAATTCAATAGCAGGCTACGATGGCAAGACTTTTTGAAATTCCTTGAATGTGTCTTAAATTGTCTGTTCACATTCACCCCTCACAGTTATCTACTTTCAATTCATGATACTGCCGTGTTATGCAATGCACTTTCCAGACAGCTGTAGCAAGTTCGATTTTGCTGAGCAGAGTCCAATATTTTTCTGCCGTTTTCTTCTGCAAGGCTCTAGGCTCTGCACAAATCAGTATTGACAACATGAGGTGTTACACTTTCTGTAATACATTATGCATGATAAGCAAGACCTAATTAAAAAACATTAAAGTAATACAACCTCCACCCACCTCCAAACCACCCAATGACAGGAAAAGGGACCAGCTTTTGCCAAATCGTTAGAAGACAACTCTTTAACAGACTGGACATTGGCAATGTTCATCTTGTATTTCTGAGGTAGCCACTAAAAATATGAATGAAAGCCAAACTTATTTCAGTCTTTACAAGTAACCTGATACATTTCCTGCTGCTTAATTTCTCACTCTGGTAAGATTTTTTTTTAAATCCACCAGCCCCAATTCATTTAAGACCTGACTCAACCCCCCTTGAAGCCCCGGAAAAGTTCCCACTATGGGCTTTGGATCAAAACTTTATGGTTTTATCTTTCAAACACATACCCTTCACAGACTGAAAGGTGAGATGCACTGAAAAAATATGCATTGTAATAAATTCATGCTATAAAGAAGCCATAAAAGTAGCAACTAAGAGGCAAAAATGTCCCTCTCTTGGCACTATTAAATTAGTGGACAATGGCAGGCACCAGGGATTGAACTGAGGCCTTCAAAAGTTAAAAGCCTGAACCACTGTGCTTTGTTCTGAAGATCAAGGCTCCCCAGCTGACAGCTCTAAGAGACTCTCAAACTCTGTCAACCCGGGCGAGGAGGAGGAAAGAGACAACACATACAGAGAGTCCTATAGATTACACAACACATACAGGAGCAGTGCCAGGGGCCTCGTACAGATGTTCAGTTTCTCCTGGAAGAGTCAGGATAAAAATGGCCACTCCAGGAGGAGAAAAATAACCTGGGAACAACCAACGTTAAATCACTCCCAGGAGAGTTTCTTCTTGAAGACTGAATGTCTGTACATGTCATAGCTTCTCTCAAAAGAAAATACAGTCCTTCAGCATCTCACCCCCACGTATATATGTTTTGCTCACTGGACTCCGCTGCTCCAAAACACTCCTTACATTGTGCTGCAGGGAAACACAGGATGACCATGGGCAGTCTGGGTCAGCCACTCAGGTTTCCCTGCGCACTGCTGCATTCTGTCTTTGTGAGCTGTGCATCTCCAGCCCAGCCCAACCCACCACCCTGCTCCTACATATCCCATGATAAAAAAAAAAAAAAATCTCACTGTGCCTATAATGCAGTAATTCTATGATGTGTCTAAGCAGATACTTAGATAACACCAACAAACTGAGTATTTTAAAGGCTGGAGGGCTAAGATAATATCAGACCTCCAACAGCAAGACTAACTGATAAGTTTTCACAGCACAAAGCACTAACCTCATAGCCCCTCTTCCTAAGGATGCTTTACCAGTTTTTTTAGAGTTATCCAAAGGGAATGTTTTACTTTATTTTCTTCTACTCATTTAACAATTCTAGTAGAATATTTCTACATATTCCTTCCCTACTCAGTATTTTTTTTCAACCCTGAACTTTTGTCCCCACATACCACAGAACTTACAGTACCACTGTACTGCTTTGCTGTAGAAGTCCCATCAAATTCCCCTTAGGGATCTGACTACACAATGTCTGCTACAGAGAAATCTGTTTACAGGATGTAAGAGGAACCCCTGAAACAAATACTGAACAAGCAAGCATATAATTTTGTTGTCTGTAGCCTTCACTTGAATTTCAAAGTTTTTGTTTTGGTTTTTTGTTTTGTTTTTTTTAGTTTCTCCCTTTCTTTGGCTAATCCTCTCCTACGGACAGAATTTTTTTTATGTCTGATTAATTATATGCTTTGTAAGAAGGAAAATCATGGGCATTTATACATGTGTTTTGGGGGGAAGAGGGTCTCATGTATCAGCATCCCCACACTTCAAAATCACAGCACGGGTGCTTTAAGCTCATTGAATAAGCTTTAGTTAAAGCATCCTCACCGCCATGTTGAATTGTGAAGACGCCGATAAACAAGACGCTGGAGGCTGCTGTAATTACACTGCGTCAGAGCAGCCTCAATGTTTGTGTATAGCTGCCCCATGATTACATACCTATAACCTTAGAAAAAGAAATTAAATACTGACACAGTTAATCTGACTAGCTCAAAGATCTGTGAGTATATCAAAATGTTAAACAGCTAAAACAATGTTTAACTCAGTTACACATAACATGGGCCTCCATTTTTCTTTCCTTTGATATCTGCCTTAGAAGCTTTCATTTTTAGTTTAGTATTCCATACAAATCTTCCCACAACTTGCCAATGGGCACTGTTTAGAGTGGGATATTACATCCATTCACAGGGCAGATCCACCTAGTCACACCTGACAGCATTACCATTATTTACATTGTCTAGATTGTCCAGTGTGGGGATTCATAGGTAGCATACAAGTGTCAGTTAGGTGAAGTCTTGAGATTGATCACAAAACAGGACAGTGACATCTCTATGACACTAATCTGGTCTACTTTTCCAGCACAATTAATAAAATGCACTTGTGCTTAACTAATGCAGAAGATAAATCAGATGGAAGGATTTTTTTTTTTTGTCAGAAATAGAAACAAAAGCAGTACCTGGATCTGGGTCTTGCTTTGAGTGTGTTCGTTTCATGAGCAACTGAAACAAAAGTTTATTTGTTAAAATATATCTGAAGAAAGGAGAAATGTTTTTATCTACAGCATCAGGGTTAGTTTAGAATTCAGTATCGCAGACATGTAGATCTGAGTATAGGGCACTCACCTTCACACACCAGTGCTTTCACTTCCCCCTTCCTAAGGTGGCTGGGTAGGTGGGTGGGTGGTAAGAATGTTTCAAAAGCCCAGATCAAGTCAGACCTTCATCCCATTTATTTAAACATAGCAGTGTAGGAACTGCCAGGTTAGGTCAGACCAGGAGCTCAAATATACTTCAGTGTTCAGGACACAATAGTGCCAATGCTAGGCACTTCAAAGGAAGGAACATGAAATCATATAGTGCAACTACATTGGCTTAATTTCCCCATAGAGAAAGTGTCTTCAGCACATTTAAATACGAGATCACATCCCTTCAAAATATTTTACCCCAGCCAATGTAAGCATGAACTCATTAGCCATATCTCTTTCTCTTTTTTAAAATGCAACTAGAACAAACAAATCCAATTCTTGGCTTCTATCATCTCCTGCAGTAATGAGTTGCAAAGGTTAATAATTGTTTTAAAAGTATATAATTTATTAGCTTTTAATTTGTTGTTTTCAGTTTATCTGAATGCTCCCCATTTTTGTTTTTATAAGAAAGGGAAAAATCACAATGCTTGATTTATTTTTGCTGAGCCATTCTTTTCTCACTTCTTCCCATTAGCTTCCTCTTCCAACTCAAATAATATTGAGGAAATGTAACTTAGTGATTGCTTTCAAATCCAGTTCCCTGAAAGAGGAATTATACTAGTATAAAAAAAAAGTCTTAAAGTCTCTTAAAAGTGAGCCCTTACTTTTTATTATTATTTCGTTAGCTTAGACTACTAAGCAAAAGCCCAGGAGGGTGGGAGCAGAAAGATCCTCAGCATGCTTTTTGTTTCCTTGAGATGCTTACCCCTTACAATGCTAGCAGTTCTGCCAACAGTTAGTTGCCAGATAGTGATATCTGCAATTACCACAGATCTTCTTATATACAGAACAGTAGATATCCAGGGTTGTAGTTGGCAAACATTGACTTTGTAATAGCTTGCATTGTACTATTGTATAGATATATCAGGTAGTAGGCTTACAGGCACGCAGAGCACATGAAGCAGCAAATACCCTAAAGCAGATACAGAATTATACACATTTTCAGCATAAGAGAAGCTGTCTGCTTGGGTCACACACTCTTAGAAGATATGCAAATGCAGCTGGCAGTGATTAACAATAAGAAAAAGTATTTATAAACAAATCTCTCAGAAGATTACTGTCACCACAAACGGACTTGAAGACCTTCTGGATACCCATGTAGTCAAATCTTACTAACAACTAGAGGAAAAGAGAAGAGGAATTCTCATTAAAAATGTACACTACTGATAATCCCCTTTTGTAGGTGTCAAACACCCACAGAATATAAACTTTATTATCTGCTTCCTTGTGGTCAAATGACCCAATTTTGCCAATACAGAAATTGCTGTTTATGAAATCATATGAACATTTTTGAATGTCTTCTTGAAATAGAAACATTTTCTATCTATCATTCTAAGCCCTGTTTAAGAATCTTTTCTCATCCCTTTTTCTGTTAATAGAAGACTTTTGGTTGTGCTTCTTCAGAAATCCTCACAAAACTACATGAAAGAGTGACAAACTCTTCTGATGAAGCTTCCTGAGATGAACAGGAGAATATGCAAGGAAGACAGAATCCATATTTCAAATGATTTATATACTGAATAAAAGAATTACAACAATGTAACATCATAATCTAAACAACTGAAAGTTAGGAATTCCAAAGGTAGGTTTCTATGGCACCTCAACTTTGGGATTAACAATTTAATCAGTTACATTTTCTTAAAATAGACAATACATGGTCTACACAAGCTTCAGCTGCAGACCTCCAGAAAGTGTGCCAATAATTTGGTCCACTTCCTCAATGAAATACATGCATATAAATCTGATATTCACCCATATCACATACACACACACACACAAATGTCATTATGAAATTACTAATTAATTTGAATCCTGTCATACATGCACATTTCTGCTGCAACAGATGAATATAAATAAGTTTCAGGAAACTGATAAAAAAATAAAACTATTTAAGTAATTATTTTGCTCCTTCCTTCCTTCAAATCATAAAAAATTAAGGTTGGAAGGGTACACTGTTGACTCGTATTCTTTTTATTGTCCACTGTAACCCTCAAGTCCTTTTCTGCAAAGCTGCTGCCCAGCCAGT